AACTCGGCACAAAAAAAGCACCGAACTAAAGTTTTCAAGAAACTCCCTTTTTCGAGTTCAGTGCAAGTGTCTAAACTAACCGCTTTGTGTTTCCGAGAAGAACGTGTTGTACGAGGCGTCCTCGACGCCTTGGGTCTTATCTCCAGGCATGATTCCATCAGGCTGAAATGACAAATATTTAATACAATAATTACCACTTTTGAGAGATCATCTCCAACCTCTATGTATGGTCAATGTATTTCGACTCACCTGAATTCCATGCTCTAAGCAGTACAACTCCCAGCACGCATTGCCAATTTGAACGCCGGCCTGTCCAACATGAAGCGAGATGATCTCTCGCTGAAAATAAGGCGAGCTATAGCAGGTCCAGTGAGTTTTGTCGGTATGCATCAAGCAACACCCCAACAAGAAACAAAATCAGGTCCCCTACGGAAAGGAAGTAAGCTAAATAGTGACGAACAGACAATATACAGCTGCAGGAAAAAACTTGGAACAAGCCACAAATCGCATCTCAAACAGTTCTGAAGCTCTATTTAACAAAAACAGGTGAAAGATTAGCAGATAGCAGGAATTCAACAAGAAAAGAACTTTCAGCGCCCTGAATTCGGTTTGCTTACTACTGGACTCTATCAGAGTCTTCTTCACTCGTGGAGCCGACTTTACAGGGCTTAAAGCACATTCCGGATAAACTAAAGCTATGAGTTCCTAAATGTCTCGGGTGATCCGGTAGGCGATTCTGGATGCAATACTACACTGAAAATGTGAAAAGCAAGAATCCCACTAGAACCTGAGCATTTAGGCCCATGAGCACCCTTGTCGTGGTAAAGCACGACGTCCGATATTGCATACTCTGGATTAGCTTGTTAGTGTAATGTTGGTATACTGTATCGCAACACGTGTATAAGTGTCGTCTGATCGATTGCGAATAGTTTTGGATGGAAATAAAGGAGAAGTTAACCACCGTGTCACCCCTTAGGCCCATGCCGACGCCCACTGGCTGCTAGCTACTAACCACTATGCTATCTCTCTCTTTTCCGAATGGTGAGGTGAGGTGGTAAGATAAAAGAGCTGATATCGTAATGATGACAACGAAAAAAATTGGAAATTTTTACAGACACGCTTTCTCTTCACTGTATACACGTAAAAACTTTGATCGGCATGGAACCTTATACAGGACGTTTCGAACGTTTTTTTTTGTGTGTTTTCTTCTCCACTGCTCAGTTATCTAGCACTTCATCATTCGTACTTGAACTCCATTACCAGCCATTTGCGGTCACGGGCTTTGCCTTCTAGGGGTATCTGAGGATATTCAACACCGAATTAACTGAAACTGCTCACTCTTGTTGGTGATCTTCTTCCCCTTGACTCATGCTTCAAGTTATCTAAAAGTTGCCTGATGAGGTTGAGGTGAAGCCCTCACTCCGTCATTTGTCACCCAGATACTGACCTTGGGTGCCGGAACCTAGATTTCACGTACTGTTCTGTTTGTTTAGGATCACTTTTACTGATTGGGAAACAGTTCTTCCACGCATATGTACCTCATCCATATCCACGATACCTCGGCTACGCAAGTCAAGTAAAATCAATCAAATAATTTGGAAGAATATTCCGATTTTTTTGGCTCGCTCCATTCCAAATTTTTTTCCTCAGCTGTACAATTGGGTCTTTGGTCCGCGCGTAAGTGTAACCTGTCTACGGAACAAAACTGTGGAATCTGACTGAGATCCAATGATTCTTTGGTTGCTATCATGAAACCGCGAAAAAATAAAATGTTCTAAAATGAAAAAGATGAACAGAAACAAATCAACTATTCGTAAAGGTTGCTTGCGCTAGCTTTTTAGAACATTCAGTATGCTATGGAAGCCTGTCATAGTCACTTCGAACGCCCTGCTATTTTCTTATATCCTGGCGCCTCTCTCACATGTTCACATTTGCGAAAATATTGAGTTTGCCTTTTCCAACAGTCCTTTCTACGAAGTGCCCTTTGAAGGTTATTTTCCCATGCCACTCCATATTTCTTTTTTCTGTTGTTGTCATCCATGAAGCTTACGTGGAGATGTCCAACGATATTTCAGTGGCACACTACTCACCCATAAGCCCTAAAGGCAGTTGGTAAAATGCTAGTGGGGCGCTGTATAGTGGGGAAAATGGCAAAAGAACGAAGTGAAACGGTCAAAATCCTGCGAAGAAAAAGCACTTGTAAA